CAGTGAAGAGGATGAAAAGACAGCTATAGAATGGGAGAAAATATTTGCAAACTACATATCTGAAAAGGGACTAGTACCTAGAATACATAAAGAACTCTCAAAATGTAACAGTTAAAAAAAGTCTTTCTTTTGAATCCTTGGTTTTAAATTCAAAATTATTGAGGATTGCAGATAAGGAACAGCCCTATTAAGAGTACTTTAATAGAGGAGAATGGTACAATGTGCCAGAAGGACATTTTCTGCAAACCAATAGCAAATGTGCTTTCAATATCATGGTAATTTAATTTGTCTCATAGTCAAGTTGTGTGGACCTCGCATTGGCTTTAGAAATAAAAACAACCGAAATGGAGTGCTATGCAGTCCATCCTTACAACTGTTTTCTCTTTGTTATTTTTCAAGCCATATGTTAAACCATTTGGAACTATTTAAAGTGGTTTTGATCTGTCCATAGCACATGATCACTTGAATAGTAAAGAGTCTTCTCTAAATTCATTCCAGCCATAAAATGACTTAACTCAGTGCTGAAATCTTCTGGAACGATCTTTAGACCTATATTCAGCACAGTTACCTTTAAAAGCATGTGTTTATCTGCAGTGTCGACCACAGCACCCCCCTCCAATCGCTTGGCCCAAGGAGGTGCTCTGTGTTGAACCATCGAGCCAACCACATTCTTATATTATCTTAGAGCATTTCAAACCAAATTTTGCACTACTTCACAATGATGGAAAATTGCAGGTCATGCACTTCCAAAGGGTGCTGTCAGGAATGAGAATGCCATCAATGGAAACGTGTATTGAGCATGTTCTGTGACCACTGAAGTGCAGTAAGCAAGGAAGATGTGAGGAAGTGAGAGGCTTGCCTTCTGAGCTATAGAGAATGGAGTCCTTAACCCAGGGACCCTACCTATGCATAGACAGATAGGTGGATAGGGTCTACCCTATGGATAGACCCCCCCAAAATTGTACATGAGCTTTTATGTGAAAGTGCATTCTCCTGAGGAGAAGGTGTGTGAGCTTTCTTTATTTTTCAAGGGATCCTTCCCTCTAAAGAGCTCAAAAACCACTACCTAGAGAAAGGACATACTTGGTTGTACAGGAAAAGGGCCAACAGGAGCACTGCGGAACAGAGCGATGATCTGTCAGCATTAGAGGGGATGGGGAGGTTTTGTGCGGGATATGGAGTGTCAGTTAGGAGACTCAGGAGTCTATGCTCGTAACCCGAGTCTGCTTGCATCTCCCCATCTCCACAGGCACCACCTGAACATGAGGTGTCATTACTTATCAAGGAAACAATGGCAACAGCCCACTAGCTGACACCCCCACCTCCTCTCCTGCCATTCTATCAGCGGCTTCCCCACAGTGGCCGCAGTGACCCCAAACTCTGATCAGCACCTCTAACAGCACTTGGAACTCAAGAGCTATGCAATAATTATTTCTAAGGGATGAGTGAATGCTCAGATAAAGACCTCCTTGGGGTAGAGGTAGCAGATATAAAGAGATGGAACAGATGAAAGAGATATTGAGAAGGGTGACTGGCCTGGCTGCCTGGGTGTTGGAGGAGCAGGAGGAGACCAAGGAGTTGAGGTGGGCTCCAAGTGTCTTGAGTGGAACAATGGAAGAACGAGGAGCCAAAGAACTGGAGGTGGCTTCAGAACTATTAAGTCAAACATTTATCTATTTTCAAACAGCGGGAAGTTCAGGATAAACTTGGGTGAGATCAAGATTGGTAGTGTAGGTGCAGGATTCATGCCTGTGCAGGAAAACCTTTGCTGAAGGTGAAGCCATGGCTGAGTTGCAGGAAAATCAGTGTGGGTGTAAGTTGGAGAATCTGGATTACATCCACATACCGGGGCAAGAGGAAGAGGCAAAACCCGTGAGGGAACAGCCTGGGAGGCAGGAAGAAATTCAGCACCGTGAAATTCCTACTTAATGTTCCAACTGTGGGAATCTCTGGAAGGAGAAGAGGAAGATTCTCTTTCTGTCCCTTCAGTCCATTCACCATTAGAAGTGAAAACTGGGAATATGATCAAGGTAGTCAGGAGATTCGGATATCTATGTAACATATAGGAGATATGCATATATACATGTAAAAACAGATGTATATATAAAATAGGTATATATATTCTATATGTCATTTTATATATTCATATATATAAAGAGATTTATTATAAGATA